TGAATCTGACGTGACATGTTCGTACGAACCCTTTGTACGAACAAAAGTAAGAGAAATTTAGGATAAGAATACGAACATGTTCTTGCATGAGACCCGTTGTGTCCTTGGGCGAGATACTTCACCCACCTTGCCTACTGATCATGGTTGGAGGATCCAGTGGTTCTGGTGCATGGCAGCCCCCCCTCTGTCAGTGTGCCCCTGGGCAGCTGTGKCTACAATGTAGCTTAGCACCATCAGTTTGTGAATGTCTGTGAATATTGTAAAGCGTCCTGGGGTCGTTATAGGGCTTGATAAAGTGCTGTATAAGTTCATTCCATTTAAAAGATCCATTTATATATCTGTTCTTTTCTAAAGGATCTCTCGGATGGAAAAAACTTAACTGAAACATTTACATTTCATCAAATTTATATCAGGTGTTGAAACAGGCCTAACATTCTGATAAGAAATGGTTATCGCCCACTGCTTCAAGCCCAAGTGTTMAACTAAGATCCAAAAACTACAGTAATATGTGAAGAAATAATGTACTCGTTGTGTCATTCCTTAACTGTCCTGCTGCCCTTGAGTCAAAACAAACCACAAGGGCTTAATTGTAAAACTGTGACTTTTTCCATGATCTCTGATATTGCCAGATCTTGCACTTAGAGTATATGTTGTTGGATTTTATTACTCTAAGTTATTACGTGATTTTTTTTGCACAAAAAAATACAGGTTGAACAAAGATGCAAGGAAAACAGCATCAAATGACACTTGTAAAAACTATTTTTTTGTCCTTGAGACTCAGAAATTTGAGCCTCTTGGAGGACATTTAGGTTAAGTCAAGCCAGGGTGTTGTAAGAAAGCTCAGCTTTGTTTCATAGTACACCTCTCTGGTCTTATCATTTCTGATGATTAATGGTTACCTTTATGGCTCCCCACCTTTACTTGTGCTAACAATCTAGACTCCGGCTTTTGTTGTAAAGTGTTTGAATTATTTACCTGTGGTTTTTTTTTTTAGTTCTCTGTTCATTTAAGTGTAGTCACATGTGACCCTGATGATTTTTGTCTTGTTCTTCTCTGTTTTTTTGTTTGTTTGTGCAGGAATACATCAGCAGCCTTCAGACGAAATACAGCCAACTGCTGGTAATAAATCTACACTTTTAAACTTTAAATAAGTGTATATATATTGTTTTATTTGCTAAACAGATCCATGCTAAAGTCAACATAGACTGCAGGAGTTCATATATTTAAAATGTGCATTTAACTTACATTTTGTGACACGTTTTGCTGTAATTTTTTWAAATCTTTCTTTCAGGCCAGCTCTGCAGCTCGTCAGCGCCACCTGCTAAGCCTGCGGGACTACATGCAGCACTGCACCAATGAGCTGTACTGGATGGACCAGCAGGCCAGTGAAAGGATCAACTACGACTGGAGTGACGCAAATTTGGACTACCCTGCCCGTCAGAGGCAGTATGAGGTATGTTGAGACACTTCCTATAAGGATGAGCAGCAATAAATGACTAAAACCTGACCTCACTGTGTCTCACCCCAACAGAACTTTATCAGTAAGTGTCTGGAGTCCAAAGAGGCCACCATCACCAAGCTGAATGATGATGGACAGAGTCTGATTAATGCAGACCATCCTGGGAAGAACGTTATTGAGGTAAAAACTCATCTGTTGGCTCCAGTTTGACTTTTTCTTTCCAAGAATATCTGGGCTTCTTTGATACGGCTGAGAATCTTTACTTGACGATTCCACTAAGACTGAGATGGTGGTGATGCTGTTCAACAAATGATTATTCATGCGTTTGGAACGTCTTGAAACTTAAATGACTTTAACTTATTTTACATAAATAAARACTGAGTTAGATATGTTAATGTCTAATAAAGAGTGCACATAACTCCAAAACCCTTAGAATCACTGACTGCTGATCAAAACTGATCATAGATGGGGYGGCTATGGTTGAGTGGTTAGGGGAGTCACCCTCCAATGAGAGAGCTGAGGGTCAGATTCCACTGCTATTCAATCACATGCTGAAGTGTCTCTGAGCAAGACAATGAACCCACTGCCTCTGTGTCCCATCAGTGAATGAATGTAATTTAAAGCACCAATTTGTCTCTATAGATTGATTAATCTAGATTAGCTTTGTAAAGAGACACAGAGTGCCATGTTAATGGGTAAATGAGGCTGCGTTGCCAACTTAACGACTTTGTCACTAGATCTAGCGACGTTTTAGACCCCTTTAGCAACTTTTTTGGGAAAAAAGTCACTAGATTTGTCCGACAACTCTAGCCCCGGTGTTTTTAGAGACTTTTAGGAGCTTTGGTGACAGCATTTTCCAAGCACCTTTTTCCTTTCCTCCTCTGTTCCTCCGCAAGCAGCGAGCGCGGAGGTGAGCCCCTCCCCCTTCCTAAAGCCGTCCGACTCACTGAAGCCTCTTGCAGCACCCCCAACCCTACCCCCAGCCTCGGCTGAAGTCAGCTGAGAGGAGAGACCGCTGCAAATGAATCACGCATGCGCAAAGCTGYCACTGCTTCTATGTGGTTTACAAAGCGGGATGTAATATTTATTGTAATGTTTTTCTCTGGTACTGTCTCTGTAAACTAAATCTCTGGACCCTGTTGTGTTTGACTCACAGATCAGTCACTTCACCTCTTCCTCCCTGTGCCTGGTGACATCGAACAGTCTGCAGATTAAATTTAAGATTCCCACAAATTTAATTTATGTGAATCTAAGCACTGAAGTCAAAAAATTATTTTTATTTCGTTAAGTTTAATTGCAGTTCTAAACATATTTATTTTGTTTTTATTCACTTTTTTCTCTTCATCATCTCTCCTATAGCTCAGATCACAATTATTGACAAACATCCAACTATGCAAATTAAGTGATGACATCATCTAGCGACTTCTAACGACTTTTAGGACAGCCAACAGGGACTTTTCTTGCTCAGGAGTTGGCAACACTGAAATGAGGACACAGACTGTAGTTGGAGTAYCCTGCTTGGAGAGGAGGGTACTAAATAAGTACAGTTCCTTTACAACAAGCTGACTTAACATTAACACAGTAGAAAAGTTTTTGCGACTAATATGTATCTCTGGAATTTTATTCACAAATCCAATGTTTCAAGTTGTTCTAAAGACAGTGATTCTAATAACATCAACTATTCCACACTATGGAGGTATTGCTCTTTTGGGGTATAGGGTGGGGGATTGGTCTGCTGAAGGGAGCAGCAGGAGCAGAGTCGCAGAATGGCTCTTGACCCTTATTRTGTCACACAGATCAAAATATGTCCAAGTAGCCTATGTCTTTTTAGGGTTTTAAGTTTCATWATAATATGACTCTTACCACAGTTGTGTCTGTGCTGCAGCATGCTTTTAGCCAGACTTTGTGCCAATAAAATTAGTTTTTATTTCCTCCTCTGCAGCAAGGCAGAGGAGGAAATAAATAATAATTAAAAAAACAAAACTCAGAACATTTAAATCTGAAAGGAGTCCAGCTATGGTGATTTGACTTAAGAAACCTGTAGCTGTGTTACTGGTTTATACCACAATGTTGTCATACTGCCCAAGCCTATTGCACACAGAGAGATATTCTTCAAAGTTTCATGAACAAAAGATGAATGTGATCAGGTTCAGGTTCAGATTTATTCGGGTCCCAAAAGGGCAATTAATGTTACAGCAAGGGCATAGTACTTATAAGACATAATAAAAAAGTTCAAAAGTTCAAAAAACATGTATGCAAAAAATTTTAAAAGATTATAACAAATAAGATACAATACAGTGCGCCAAAACACAACAAATATAAATCAGTGAACAGTTACTACTAACATTCATAACAAGGAGCCCCAACATTCAGATGTGAGTCCCCCTACTTTGTCTTGCATTAAAAAGAGAAATAGCTATATGGATGAAGGAATACTTGTACCTGTTACTTTCCATACAGAGAAGTCTGAACCGGCGGCCAAAAGGCAGAAACTGGAACTCAGTGTGTAAAGGATGAGAACTGTCAGCAAGAATTGTGCTAGTTTTTCTGGTGATCTGTCTATTAAACAGTTCAGTAAGTGAGCATTGATGAACTCCTATGATCTTGTTACTTGTCTGCTGAGTGCATTTTTTGACTTAATGTTAAGATTTCCAAACCAGCAGAGGAGAGCAAAGGTCAACACAGRCTCAACATATGATTTATAAAACAGAATCATCATAGACTTGTCAACCTGAAACTTTGAATGAGTTATGAAACACAGTTTGACTGCGACATGTTTCTATTATTTATATTAAGGGAAGCAGCAGTAACTCAGCAGCGACAAACAGAGCTGATAAGCAACAAACCTTCTGACTTAGAGTAATATTAACAAGATCAATTTTTGACTTTCAAGATTGGATTCAGAATTATTCGCAATGCCATGCATCTAAAAATAGATTTATACTTTAGTCCATCTGTATTGGTTTAAATGTTGTTGGTTTTTTTGTTTGTTTGTTTTTGTTTATAAAACTATTTTCCTTTTTCTAATCAATAATCCCTCCTGATGTCATAAGGCTCACATGGAGGCGGTCCATGCTGACTGGAAGGAGTATCTGAACCTGCTCATCTGTGAAGAAAACCACCTGAAACACATGGATGAATACCACAAGGTTAGATAGAGAAGAGGGGTGACGTGTGAGCACAAACAGTTAAACAGTTCATTAATCTCTGGGTTTGGATCTGCTCATGTGCAGTACCACAAGGAGGCCCGYGACACACAGGACCTGCTGAAGCGACTGGATACAGAGGTGACCCAGAAGTACAACCCAGAATTCAAAGATGTGTATCAGATGGAAAGCCTGATAGGAGAGCTGGATGTGAGCATTTTTTACCTTAACACAAAGAAGGGTTCACAATGTGACTCAATATTCGACAGCAGCATTAACATTTAGTGTGTGTGTGTGTGTGTGTGTGTGTGTGTAGGACCAAGCCAAGGCTGTGGAATACTTAGATGAACGAGTCAAGAATCTTCAGAAGAACAGCTTGCAGGTTTTGCCCCTGAAGTACCGCAGGGAAACCCCTCAGAAGGTGCTGCCTGTTGAAGCTCTGTGCGAGTTTGACACTGAGGAGGTACGAAGCGTCTGCTTTTTCTGCAACTCAATCTCCYCTCATCTCATTTGACGTGACTATTTTAGGGCTAAGCAGCATAATCTGCAACTTTAGCTACAAAAAGTSCTGCTTGTTTTTCCTAAAGGTGCAGGTTTCTTTCAATAACCTAGTTTGTTTTTTTCATTTTATTTGTTTGTCATGCTGGAATTCGTACTTACAAGTTTTTTGTTTCTATTTTATTTAGTAGGAAAATGTAAATGTCAAAGGTGRCTGTTAAAACAAACTGTTGATAATTTCTAAAGAAAACAATAGCTGTTTTTAGTCATTAACATTTTCCTGGTCAGATTAATCAAATTAAAAATGAGATGATCATAGTTTAAAATTTAGGCGTTCATAATGCGTTTCTTGAAGGATACCATTCCTTGACCTTTTAATTTGTAATGTTTTGAATTGACTACTGACAATAGAAATAGAATTTAAATGTTTTAGGAGGACCTGAGATCTGGCCAAACTGGTTTTCATAAAGAAWATTCCATTACCTATTACAAAATGTTGCCCAACTCTAATTGCTGGACTTGTGCAGGGTCAGATTGCCCGTGGTGAGAGGTACAGCCTGCTTCGGAACAACGGTGCCAAATGGGACGTTAAGGATGCTGCTGGCCGAAAACACACCGCCCCAGGTGTCTGCTTCATGATCCCGCCCACCGACCCAGAGGCAGTCACCATCGCTGACAAGTGAGTATATGTTATAACTCAGCTCATTTTATTCCAGAGCGGTGGCAGCAGCATGATGTGTTGYGTTCTTGCAGCTTGGCCAGCCAGCTGAAAGGTCTSAAGCAGAAGATGGGGAGCAGCAAGGCCACGCTTCAGAAACGATACGATACACTGAAGCTGGAGAAGGGGAGCGGCACAGCTACAGGTACAGGATGCTCACTGCAAACCTTTCACTCCTGCATGCTGTGCAGTTTGACTTAGGTTGTAAACTCATGACTAAAATATATATTTTTTTGAAAAACAGAAAAATGGAATTTTTGGTCATTCAATTAGCACAAGTAGAGCGAATAAAACAGTTTGTTGTCTGAAGTTTATTAAAAAATTATTTAGAAGTGATAAAAGATGYCAACAGGTATTTCAGCTGTTTTGAAGTGGGTTTCTGTGTAAATGGAATTTAAATAGTGTTTCTGTGAAAATACCGCAAGTTTTAGCCACGTTTTTCAATGCTCAATGTGAATACGGAGAACTTGGCTGAAATTTGCTATTTCTGTATTTATAAACATAAAGGTATTCATACTGCATAAACTACAATACAATCTTGGGAAATGTGATCTTTTTTAGTATTTTTAAGAGGGTTAGGTTTGGACACTACAAAGGAAAAAAATAAACTAAAAGAACAATCAAAACAAAGACAGAAAAAGAAATATAAAAAGGCTAAAAAAAAATAATAATAGGTAACAACAAAGCAAAGACAAAATGGAAAAGATAAAAGAAAACAAACAGAATAACCAAAGAAAGAAAAAGAACAAAGAGAAAATGATTAAAAGAAAAAAATTCAAAACTTTTGCACAAAACCCCACTACCTAATGGCTGGCATGTCTTTTTAACATGTCTCAATTTAATAACCTTTATGTTCTTAAACAGACAAACTAAATAAAACTGGTTAAARCATAAGAAATGTCATCATTGTGTAAATATGAAAAACTAGCTGTTCAGTCGCTGCAGCAGCTGTAATTTTCCTCAAAAAGTTCTTAATTAGAAAATATATATACATAACGTGTGTGTGTTTGTATGTGAGGGGGTGGGGTTTGTGTGGGTGGGTGTGTAAAATGAAACATTTGAATTCAGGATGTGAAACATTTTACAACAAGGTCATTTTTGTATGAACGACACATTTCTGYGTGTGACTGCAGACAAGCAGGAGCAGCAGTGCCGCCAGCAGATGGCCGGTCTGGATAAGATCATCAGTGACTTGGACAAACAGGAGAAAGCCATTTACTCTCGAATTCGCCCCCCTCTGGAGCAGAACAGACCACTTCAGGACAGCGCTGACCGCCTGCAGGATTTAAGGGTAAAAACTTGAACCTTTCACAGCTGGCCCTGTCTTCAGGAAGTAAAGAGAGCATTTCAATCACTGACTAACTCTGTCTCCTTGCACAGGAAATTTCTGCAGCTGTCAGTAAGATTGAACCAGAAAAGTCGTCCAAAGTGAAGGAAGCGAGGACATTCCTAGCRTCAAATGCAAACTGCGCCAGCGCTCCCCAGCTTCACAGCAAGGTGGATGAGGCCAATAAGAAATACACCAAGATTGAGCAGCTCCTTCAGTGCTCTCAGGACAAGTATGGATTTCTGTTATTTTTTCCATACATGTTAGCATTCTTTTAGATTCTTCAGCCATACCAGAATGAAAAGAATCAGCTCCTTTAGCTCCTTTTAAGATATTACTGTCTTTAACYACATCTTCTTCTTTCTGTTGTTGCCTTTTTCTGGGTTGCCACAGCAAGTCATCTTCTTCCATCATCCTCTGTCCTCCCTAACTGCATCCATATTTCTCCCTTTTTTGACCTTCCTCTTTGCATTTTTCTTGGCAGCTGCATTTCACTTTCTCCCAATATACAAACTGTCCCTCCTCTGCACATGTTAGACACAGACATTTCCATATCTCCACTGAATTTTTTAAAATTCAACCTGAAACTACAAATTTACCAACTTTTGTGTATTTTTACTCACTTATAAACTGCACCTTATTTCAGAATGAAAAATTCCAACCAACTGGAGCAGTCTCTTCAGAATGGAAAAACCTTACTGTCCACCTATGAGAACAAGCTGGCCCGGGAGGAGGTTGCTCCAGCTGACCTGAGCTCACTGGAGAAAACACAGCGGGAACTTGCAGTAAGAATTTGTTTACAGCACAGTCCTGAGAGCAATATTGTTTTTGCTTGTGTCTATGTACACTTCCTATAAAAAGTATCCACTCCTTGGATGATTTACCCTTTTTATTGCTGTCATAAATCGGTCATGGTTAAATATACATTTTGTGCATACAACAGTAGTTTTGCAGGCAGAATCAGATTGTCCACCAAGACTTCCCTGTGTGTTAAGGCAGGGGTTCTTAACCKTTTTGACCTCTGGGCACAATTTGTTGAACAAAAAGTGGCACGAGGACAGAGAGATCAGACATTACCAATGTATGGATCAAAAATGATAATTATTCTAAATCTTGGTTTAATTTTTATTGTATTTACATCATAACTAAACTATCATAACTAACATAACTAAATTAAARAGTAACTTACCCCAAAATAAACTTTTTTAGCTGATAAACTGCCTAGAATGTGTCTAAAATGTTATATAGTACTGTTTCTGTCCTTATTTTGATGTTTTTGTGTGTATTTGTTCAAATCTGTAATATTTGGTCTAAAAACGTCTTTTTGCTGCTCATATGGGTAGAGCAGTGGTACTGCAGGCTAATTT